GCTCTAGGCAGCCCTCCTTCCTTAACTTCCCTCCAGCCTCCAAGAGTCACAGTGTGGGGACAAGGCAGTGTTGGAGGGATAGGCCAGGATTAGTGATTGCAATGCCTGCAAAAAGCCAGTCACTGGGGTCAGGGGGCAGGTAGTGTATGTACAAGATCGCCAAGGGTCTCTTGGCACCACCTGGACCTCTGTGCAGAAGTGAGGCCACCTGGGAAATAAAGAGCTATTTGGAACCCCATTAGAAGTTTTAGAAAATTGACGTGTATTATTTCTCCCCTGGAGAAAGAAGGGACTTTCTACTCCCATAAAGAGTTGCAGTCTCAGAAACTCATAGGAGGTCGCTATGATTTGGCATTGACTGGATGGCAGTGAGTTTTTTGTTTGTCTGGTCTTTTAAATGGTTTCTCTAAGTGTTGTCAAGTACTTTGCTGGTGGGAAATAAATACTACTTTATTTTGTGGCGATCGAGCATCTCTAAAATGTCAATGAGCTTTGTCACTACCTACCGACATCTCAGCACACGCCAGAAGGCTCAGGCCCCCAGCTCAGGGAACTCCCCAGGCCCATTCCTCTGGCCAGCACACGGTAGCCCTGACCGCCCACTGACTTGGCCTCATGCTACCTCATTCCCAGTTGGATTTGTGTTGTCACCTGGCATTGCTTCTAAGGAACCCTTGGCTGGGAATGGAAAAACCAGCCATTTGAGCCCAACAGCAGCTCCGTAGGATAAAACAATGGGGCAATCTGCTTCCGTCACAATTGGCGGCCTTGGAAACCCTATGGGGTGGTTCTCCGCATGGCAGGCTTACTAAGAGCCAGGGTTGACTTGACAGCAACAGTTGGGTCTTCGTTTTGGGTTGGGTTGGGTTGGATCATTGCTTCTTTCAGTCCCACTGGCCCGCCCCTTGGCCTGCCTATGAGAATTTCCAAATCCGCCGTCTGCCGCTGTTGGGCACTCCCAACAGTGGGTCCTGTACAGGGGTGCTGTGGAGGTGACCCAACAGGGGCCCATTCACTCTGCAAGCCCCAGCTGGGCTCCCCTGGAGGTCTGCCGTGGACGGAGGGCAGGCTGCAGCCCAGTCTCGGAGTTTTGCCCAGGCTCCCTTGCCATCTGGGTGTCAACCTTGTCTGAGCGAGTCTGTACTAGTTGCAGGTATAGGTCTGCACACCGCAGAGAATCACATACTTTTTCTTCCCAGAAGGCCCTGTGGCCCTCTTCTTTGTTCCACTCGCTGGAAATGGATCAGGCCCTCATTCCTGAACACGTTGCTGTGGCTGCGAGTGGAATCCGCCGATGGATCCAATACAAGCAGGATCTGCAGCCGGGATGAGGCTGGTCTGGGTGGGGTGACACTGAGCAAAGTGGCTATGACTTCCGAGGAGAAAGGGGGTTGGTTGTGGGATTTCAAACCATGGAACGAAAGTCCCTTCCACAAAGACTTCCAGAAAGGGCCACAGAACCGGGGATCTTTATTAGATGGAGGGAGAGAGAGAGTATGTGGGAGGGAGAGAGAGAGTGTGTGGGAGAGAGAGAGTGTGTGTGAGTGATTGACTGTGTATCAGTTGTGAGAGAATGTGTGAGAGTGTGTAAGTATAAAGTTTTATTGCTTTATGGACTCCTTCCATTCTATCAAGAGCCAGGGTCAAGAAGGCCAGAGTGTGGGCAGGGAGCACAGCCCACATTGGTCTGTCCTTAATTGTCCAGAGGAAACTTCATCGGGTTTATCTAATGCCACCTTGTCCCAGAGCTTGTCCCACCGCAGCATGTGAACGTCAAGGATTTGGAGAGGTGTGTGGCCTGAGGATGAGCTCATGTCTTGAACATTCATTCATTCATTCATTCATCCACTCCCTCGCTCACCATGTTTCTTAGACTCATTCGCTACCATCGAGTTGATGGTGACTCCTAGCGACAGTACAGAACTGGACAGAAGTGCCCCTGTGAGTTTATCACAGATGAACGCGTAACCTCCATGCCACCAGGCCTCCCTGTGTTTCCTTTTTGTTATTATGGAAACAGTTTATTTTCAAGCAGCAAGGTTTGAATCAATATTCCAATCCTTGTAATCATTTCAGTTACTTAAATCAGTTAAATATATTTAAAGAATACCGTTTTCAAACTCTGAGTAATCCTATCCCCAAGTACTATATTGTCCCGATGTTTCTTGTAGACACTGAAACCCCAGAGAAGATCACAATGTCTCCCTTACGCCTGATAAGGTCGCAGTCTGGGGGGACAGGCGGCGAGGGCAGTTACTCCCGCAGCAGATGGGGGCAGAGTGCCGTAGGCAGGGTTCTTGAGATGTGAAGGAGGAGCTGCTGCGGTCTGCTGTTGGAAGAGAGTCTCTCAGTTGACTTTGGGCTAATGGGACGGTGCATGGGGGACAGCTCTGGCGGAAAGAAGCGAAGTGGAAGCGTAAGCCCCTCTGGGAGGGGAGTGTGACAGTTATAGGAGCAAGTTCTCCCTGGGGAGGGAATATTTGAGCTGAGCTCTTATACACGAGGTAGTATCCAGAGAGGGGGGTGCCCAGATAGTGCTCTAGTGGAAAAAAAGAGGAAGGGCCACGGTGGTGTCCAGTGTATTCGATAGGATTTTCTAAAGAAACAAACCCAGAACACATATATATGTCTATAAATATATATACGATTTATAACAAGAGACATCACAACGCGCTGAGAGGCTTCTCAGTCCGGTCACTTCCATGGGGCGGATGCTGGCCTGAGGCCCCTTCCCTGACTCGTGAGCTTGTT